TAGTTCGGTAGCCAATGAAAATACCATGTTCATTTGCATATCGACCGTGAAAATACCGAAAACATTATTGCATGGGTGATATGCAAATTAGTTTGGGCCAAAATAAGTGACTGCCTAATAGTACCATTACTGTTGTTCAAATTTCATTTCACTCGGCAAGTATATTCATGTACCCCAGGGGGAAATATCGTACTTCTAAATATTGTTTACTCTGAAAAACTGTACTCCTGAAGGAACTACTTTGTTTGCTCTCAGACCTCATTTGCATATGGGTTGTGTAAATACCGATTTTGATTTCAAGGACGAATCAAAATATACTGCAGTACATATGTAATAATATTATATACCAGTAAAATTAAGTTTTAAATAATATTTTCTGTCTCTGCAGGCTAGATGAAATTCTTGGAAAAACTGAAGGAAAGAATGGAATCGAGTTGTATAATACAAAGGTTCCTATGATCACCAGGGTTATAAAAGTTGAGAAAAAGGTCAATATGATTGATCGAAAATTAGATATGTTGATTGAACTCTACAGAGAAGAAAGGCAAGAAAAAATGAAAGCGTTACAACAAAATAAACATGAACATGATGATCAGAATGATAGTGACAAAGACACTAAAGATCCCCCATCACGGATTAGGCGGCATGGAAGAGCCAGAAAGTTGTCACGGGTAAAATCAGAGGGGCATGGGGCACATGTTGATACCCATGAAAAGTCTGAACGCAGAGTTGAATTCAGAAAACTCTCTGATTCACAACCGAGTATTCCATCGTCTTTAAATTTAGATGCACCAGATGCAACAACTGTTACAGTATCCACAGCACTTTCACAACCATCAATCACTACTACTACTGAAAGTGAACAAGGCCTGCAGCTCGCAAATGCCAAAGGTGTTGGTAGGGGACAAAATATTCCTGATTATGACAGTGCAATAGACGATACTAGAGTTTAGTATATCAGCTTACATCCATATGTATATTTTGCCCAGGGAGCCAGCTGTGAATAGTCAACTTTCTTGCCAAAGACAGAAATCAACAGATACAATAGTTAAAATTTTGGTAGAGCTTCCTACTTCTGTTTTAACACGATTTGGAGCTAATCACACATAATGATTTAATTGGAATTAAAGATACTACTAACCCATTGTGTGGATATATATGTTCATGACTTCAACGGAATATTATCCAAGGAAAGTATGCGCGTACATGCGTGTCATCTGTAACATATCCATTTCTTTATTTCGTTTTCATTCCTGGATCATGCAGTGAAAAACAACAATAGATTTATTTGAAACTAGTAAAGCAAAGAATGTCACTGCTTTCTGGATATAAGGAGCTGAATGCTGTGCCTAAAATGGGATTATTATATCTAACTAATTGCTTCATATAAAACTACCGAACCAGGATGTATTCTCACATAGAATATCAAAGAAATGCTACTTACTAAATGGAATAGTGTAGACATTTGTTTGAGTGATTCTGAGTGGATTATCAATATACATAACCTGAAATGGAAGTAGTGTTACTCAACATTACTGCCTAGTTGGGACATTATCAAGTACCTGTTTTAGAAATGTTTTCGTTGGTTTCTGTCTGGGCCATCTCAGCAAATATTGATAGCGAGTTGTGTGCTGAGGAATTTTGAACCTTGCGGATAAACATTACTGCCATGGACACAATGCTTCTTCTGGATATAGTTGTTAAGAGAAACATAACTTTACAAACGCAAACAAGAGAAGAATTACTGCCGTCAACAAGTGAATGAAGCTTCGACAAAACAGTCATGAATTTACATGTTTTAATTTAGTTGTTAATTTGTTTTTCATGTTTTGTTTGATATTGTTTTTAATTTTTTATTACTTTCATTTCATACATTCACAAAGAACAGCGTAATTATGAGTTTCCAAAGCATGAGAGGTAATACAGAAAATATATGCTGTGTTTTTCTGGATTTTCATGAGATAATTAGGCCGTTTTTTGTTGTCCACATTATTTTTTAAATTCTGGACTCTGATGTTCGAAAAATATGAAGAGTTACATACTATTACAGGAATGAGTGTGGTTCTTGTGTGTTGGGGCTTGTTACCCAATTATGTATGGTATTTGCCTGCGAGAGATATTTTTTCTATGCAATTTCTGCGACGATGGCAGCTGCGATTCATGGCTTGCTACTTAAGCAGTACTATTGATAAAAAAGTGTATGTTCGATTATATTGACATAAGTATAATTCTCGCAAGTTACATGAAACCTTTGCTCCGGTATGGTCTTATGAAAGTCTTTATTATTTCCTAAACAGTGAATTGCTCGTGAGGTATGGTCGTCATTGGTGGTACCTTTAACGCGAAAATGAATACTATGTAGTTATATTTTGCAAGATTGTCAAATTACTTAATATATATCTGCTTGATAACAGAGTTTCTTCTTTTTGTCTGTTGGTCACGTAGAACTATTTGCTACATGTTTCCTCGGAGGCCCAGCTCTCTTTGGATGTAAAATGTAACTCTTACATAAGTTTTGGTCTATTTGACTGGTCTATCACAGAAACGTCACAAGTGGAAAATATGAAGGCATCTCAGAGTCTTTCAATATATATTCAGGGCATTGCACAGTAATTTAAGTAGCTATACTATTATTATTATTATATTTAAAACTAAATCTATTTATCACTTTTCACGTCAGTCATGTGTGCACAATTTTTACTATTTGAAGGAGATGTCTTTTTTTTCTTTAATGTCATCACTTAAATACTTCGCACAATATCTGCTACTATTTCAATTGAAATGAAAGCCACAACTGAATTCTTTGTTAATTGTGACAGGGTTTAGAAACGTTTAAAAGTTTAGACCAAGTTCAAATTAGTTAGGCGTTCTGGGTGATCAGAAATTTGAAAAGTTGTGTTTTGGTGTAAACATGTTGACTGCATACTTTTATAAAGTATGTATATTCTACGTTCTCAGCATGTCATTGCACTATACGTGTGTTATTCATTGCAGCACAACAACGCACTCTCACTCCAGCAAGCCACTTTCGACTCTAGCACTCAATCCCAAGCGTATCCCATCTAGGAAAATAGTGAAATGAATCACCAGAAGTTTAATACATATAGTGTTCACTCTATCATTATTCTTCTTTACTTGACACTCTACTTGCATATTTATGTTTTGTATAAATGAGCTGCATTGGCATTTTAAATGTTTATGACATGTTTTAATTACTTGAAATGGCCTCCTACATTACCTCATGAAATTTTCGGAAATAACGTCATTTTCAGGTACATGATTGCTCAACCACTTTTCACCTGATATTGGAAACGTTATCGAGTCATATATTCTAATCTCTTTTTACTGTTTCATGTTTTTATTTTTATTTTACTTTTGACTGGAGGCTGAATGAAGCGCAGGTGTTTTATTTACCGTCTCAAATTTTATTTATTAATTAATTTATTTATTTATTAAATATTTATTCAGCAGGAGCGGGTTTTAAATTAAACTGTGGCGGGCATAAGCAGTAGTTTCTAGCGAGTTTCTAGTGCTCGTGATATTCTGTGCCTTACGTCAGTAACGCCGGCTCGTTTGAGGGTAATTCATGACGTGCTGGTCGGCGATCCGTGCAAACCAAAATATGTACCCAAACTACTACAGTTTGTTCAATATTTCATTTGACCTACGAAGCCATGGTGTAATAAATAGATACTTTACTGTTTTGGTTAACACGACAAACTATCCTCTAAGGTGAACAAATTGGGGACGTATTTGACAAAATATCACGTGACACTGAAACCCACTAATGGTCTACTGATATTCAGGTGTTGGCTATTAACCTACATAGCAAGGGGACAGTGAAAGACACTGTGTTCATGCGGTATAAACACGAAACTCGCCACACATCTCAAAATTCGTATGCATGAGGTGTCCCTGTAAACATGAGCAATATCAAAAAAAAAAAAACTTTTTTCGGAATTTAGATGGACTGTTCAATATGTTTACCTGAGATTTGCGGGTCTTTAAGAACAGGCGGTGATAAAGTTCTAATGAAACGTATGCTACGAACATGCCATTGTATTTGAATACAATATATCCATTTCTATATTTGCACCCAAAAGTCAGCACCTAGTAATTCAACTTTTTTTCTGGGGATTGTTTTGAAGCCCTGATATGTCTTACCTCTCCACCCTCTGTGTTCTACATCTTCATACATGGTGATACTACAATTATATATACTTAAACACTTTACTATAATATAAATAGTAGCGGATTCTAGCGTAATTTTCTCTTTTATGTAACTTTTAGAACCATTCTTGGTTATTTCCCTACTAAACATTCTGGCAATGGCCATTCTATTTTCGAAAAATACAAATGGTGGTTTTATCGTAGACTTTATATACCATTGTGTAAACCTGGCAGGTTGCAGTTGAACAATACTGTGTACCTATTTATTTACTGATATCTACGTTTATTCTGATCTCAACACGTTGCTTGGCGCATTTCACTTGCTGTTAGCTTGCCATAAAATGTACGTGGCTCAGACTATACATGTACTCTGTACAATAAATATACCTTTAGGTGCTAATTAGTTGCTTTCCCTGTTATATGTGTTCCTTACCAAGCGCAAACTCGGTGTTAATGACTTGCTTTTCTATTGTATTATAGCTTTGCCGTGGCCACATTGCTTATATAGAGTAACATCAGCATGTGTCACACAAAGCATTGATACGTTCTTTGGATGCGAGTGGGCGGTGGTAGGACAAAGTTGATGTATAGAACGCGAATTTTTCTGTACATTCGTGTTTCGCTAAAATTGTAAATAACTTACAGGATAATAAAATAATTTCTTTTAAGTTGTTAATTTTTTAACAATTACATTTTGAATTCAAAGTACTCTCAATCAACCCGTCGTCTACAGTGCACAGATAAGCCACAACTTTCAAGTTTTATAGTTGCATACAATTTTATTTGCAGGCCAAATCAATGGTGGCTATATATCTGATTGTTATGTGTAAGGAATTATTTGGCAAATATCACATTTGAAACGCAATCACGTGTAGAATAGAGAACACCTACTGTATATTATAATGCTTCCATTGCATACTACCAAATCTCATCAACCTATGCTAATGAGCAAACGTGTGTCAGGCACATGACAGACACGTCTGCTGATTTACATTATATTGTGCCAGAGACTAATGCCACATGATGGATTCCGTATAGATGTCGACGATGTGTGTGTGTATGCGTGTAATATTTGGTTAATGATTGGAGTGTAAGTGGTAAGGGTGATGATTGCACAAATGAACCATCATGGGTATATTCGTACTAACTCAATCAATTGAAAATTCGATTTGGATATTACATTTTTATACAGTTTGGATCTATGTGCATCTCTTTAAGGATACGTTTTATAAACGTCAGTCTTTGATGTTATTGTCCAATTCAATTATTAGATCACGTGTGTGAAAAGGTTTTATTTTATATAAATATGTACATAAAACTTTACTGACTCTGGTCAACTCTTTGAAATTTGCCAAATAATTTCTGTGATTGTGTAAACTTATAGGATTACGCTGATACTGTGTAGATGTTCCGTGTCCATGAATTCAAGAAACTATATGTATAATATTATTTTTACAATCTGCCAAACGTGGAAGAAAATATATAATTTCATTTCTTAACTCTTTATAGTTTTTCCCCTTCAGCTTTTAAACTATAATAACTTGCATACTGTAAGTAGTCTAAACGCACTGAGAGGATTTCAATTTGACTACTGTCGAGGTGTAATATTATTTAACTTCTTTGTATCCTGACAAAAGTCATTTTTATCAGAATTAAAAATATTTCAAAACATCCATATATATAATTTTAGTAAGTGTGCTTTTTTGTAAGCTGTGCCCTCTAGCAACGAAGACCTATGACGTAAATGGGTAAAAGAAATGGGAGTAATTATCGGACAAGTGCATCTGTTCCCAGAAGATGCATAAATCCTTTTTTTTTTTTTTTTTAGTTCTCCAACTTATTTCGGGAATTGTAATTTATTTGTTCAATGTGTATATAGGAGCGCCCGGGTTTCCGTGATTCGAGAAAGTTGTTCTTTATTTCGTAATATCCATGGACGAATTTAAAAACAAAAACGTGCCCACGCAACTCATATTTAACTGTAGTAACATAGTTTAGTGGATTATCACTCGGGGTTCGACGGTGGGCTATATCATCAAATCAATATTCGATGAGAAACATTTGTTTGAGATGCGCGCGAGTTGTTTCCTGTATCGCCATTAGACCCCTCCCGTTCGAATTTATAGGATGGCTATTTTAAATTACTCGTACTTCGACAGCGAACTTCGAACATTGCATACTTCCTGGGTTAGTATTGTATAGCGCATATCCGAGGCGGAACTCGGTCTGCAATGAATGATGGGATTTTGTTGTAGTGAAAACAATAAATAACATCTTAGTCAATAAACGTCACAATACGTCAGCTTTCAATCAGTATAACCGGTGACTTTCAGACTCGATTGTTAAAACGTCAACTAGCGACTATCTTAAGCGTCGGTATAGCCCATTAAATTGAACTCGTCATGCAAGGCGCTGAATGCGTATAGTTCAACTACTTTGTCAATATTCCTGTAACTCGGGACATTGGGAAAATTTATATATAGAACCAAAAATGTAATCATTTTCTTACATCACGGGAATATGCACATTTATAAAATAAAATGGTAATATGCCCGACAAAAAAGCAGGAAAAGCCAAAAAAAATAGAATTAACTAAGGAAACAATGCGAGTATTAAAACAATATGTATATTGGGTTTACGAATAGCGAAGTTGTAGTCTGGAAACCAACCTATCCGAGTGCGCTTGAGAATGGGCTGGCGAATCGCTATGTAACAACGTAGTCTGCTCTGTTATCAGACCCATTCACTAGTATATTATTCATAAATGTTTCAAAGTTTCACGACCCCAGACGCCATCTAGACTAGCGAAGATGGGGAAAATGAACTGACTCATGCATAAGATTTTAATCAGATCGAGGTACCTGGGATATAAGGAGGGAATGTGTGCACACATTGGGGGCGTTCATGCCTATATTTGAAATGCGCAAGACGTCACACAAAATCGTTCTTTTTTTCGTGTTTTCATGTACGAGGTTAATGATTGTTCTACGCGAAGCACTTGACCACCATAAGATGGATGATTAGACTATATGGCATTTACGTGATGATCATCAATGTATCGCCAATCAATTGATTATATACTCAATGGAGGCCAACACTCAGTAATGACTAGAATGTTCACCGTGCGTGACTCAAGCCACCATCGTAAACGGCGTGGAGTCACGCATCACCGTGGCCGTGACCGATGGGGGGGGGCCCTAATGAGCTGTCAGTATACGAAGAGTGGTGGGCGGTTATACGTCGTCAGTTTGCTTATATTACGATTTTGTATATTATGATTCGAGATAATCGAACTACTGACGATTTCCGGTCCAGCTCCAATTATAATTATATCCCCGTGTTTGATTTGTCCCGATTTTTTGGCAAACCACATCCTTAAATTAAGCGTACAAAAACAACGACACTGCGATGTAGCAAAAAGGGATATCTGTAGTACCACGGAATGTTCATCTTTAACATATTTGCATGAATTTGGATAACAAGAATTGGAATTTGGGGAAAACATAGAATTCTTGCTAGATGGTATGCAACCTGGCTTTCACGTCACACATTCTAATCAGGAAAAAAGTAGTGGATGGAAAATACTATACATCCGCAGTTGACTCAAAGCAGAGGGACAAGGTAAAAAAACAAATTCATACTGAGATCACCCATGGGCGCTATGTGTTAACCGATAACACCTTATATGGCGTGTGCTTTAGGAGCACCCCCCCCCCCTCCAAAGATTTATTGTGAAGTTCACCTCATTCATGATTGTAGCAGTCTTGCTTGGGATGTTTTGAATGGTTATGACACAATAGACCACTATCGTTATCAGACTCTTGAGGGTATTTTTTCGCTTTTGAATTCAAATTATGTCATGGCAAAAGTCGCATTTGCAGAGTGCATATTGCATACTGGTATAACGTGAAATTTCCCAATTCGTGGCCAACCTTCATTTATGTAATATTATACATACATTTTCTTTGTCTTGTAACTTTCTTACTTATAATATAAATAAGCTTTACTACGCTAAAAACCAAAGAAGATATACTAGTATATCAATTTTCTTTAAAGACGTGATAAAGCTCACTTTACTCGCACAACTCATTTACATATTCATTTTTGTACGATGCCCGCCCTGCATATGTAGCTATGCGGTCAAACGCACTATGGTCCGTCATGGTTTAATTTTGATCTCACGACAGTGTACGAGTTGGGTTTTTTTATGGCGCCCTCTATGGATGCATGCATGCTATTGGCCTTAAATGCCTTCCTGTCGGACGAAGTCTGAAACGAGGACTCGCGTTTTGGGTTCCGGCCGTGCGTTTTCAAAGTTGGTACAAAAAGAAGTTATAATAGGATACATATGCACGTCAATTTTATTTTTCGTTTGGTTTACCTTTGACCCACTGGCGGCTATTTCCGTCTTGAAAAACAGTATTCGATCATATCAACAATTTCTCAGCCATGCCTTGAATTAATTTCACTCGAAGTTGGTATTGACATCACTTACGAGTTACTGATGCACGTCAAAATGGACGAGTTTTCTGCCCGTTTTTGAGAGATATTATACAACATTGGATTAAATGTGTTACAAAGGTAATACAGTTTGGGTTTAATGGTTTTTAGCACTTTTTGACCGACTTTGTGGAAAATAGTTACAAAGACAATATACAAATATACGTTGTTTGTTGTTGTAATGATCTTTGACAATAAATCAAATTCGTCACCCGTTATGACCTACCACAACGCTGATTCAAGCCCTCATTCAAACTGCATGGAACCTGTATCCATGGTCAATTGTGTGTTGCCCACTGTGGAATTACTTTGCCATTTAATGTTTGTAATTTTTTTTGGCAAATTACCAGTGGAATAATGTATAATTGTTAAATAAACTATTTTTCTTTTTCTCATTTACCCCCACTTGATACTGAAATGCATTTTTGTGTATGTGTATTGTGTATGCATTTTTTGTTTGAACTAGTTTCATTTTGCACAGCATTGGTCAATTTACGTCCTAGTACCAGTAATTCCCCCACAATCACACAGTATTATCTACAACCACATTTTAGGTTTAAATACATTGAGTTTATTAAAACATATATAACCGTGCACGAGGTTTGGAATACAACCCGTAATGAATAATGTGTGTAAACGTCTATGCTGGGACGGTCACGTGTACGTCAAACGACATCTAATGAAAATATCCGAGCCTGTTAATTTAAAGTTATTTTTCCACGACTCAGTTACTTTTTTCGGATATTTAAGCAACAAATGTGACCTCTGGAAAATACTGCAATCCAAGACGCCAATTAAGTAGAACAAAGGCAAGCATAACCACTGCACATTATTTAAAAAAAACATGCGTTAATTAAGAATATACAATCACTAAAATCCAGTTGCGAAGAAAATTGAATTCAGTTCTGGATTTGAGTTAAACGTCCACACACGTGGGACATGGCAGTTGACGCCATCAAACACACAATATCTCGTTAATGACTGAAGCATCGAAAACACATAATAATATAGTTACAAGTTCATAATTGAATGCTTTGAATAAATTTGAATCTGAAAAATGTGAAAAGATTAAATCAGGAAAGTATGAACACTCGTACTCAAACAAAAGCAACCTGAGCTATCAGTTATAGCGGGCGTGCTTCGCCGCGTATCACATTCCCGGTAGATGAATTGTGACTGGTACAACGCCTTACTCTCAGTAACAAACCATTTCGAAACACAATAAAAACAAGACGAACGACGATGATCTAGAAGGTATCTTTCGAAGAAATATATATAACAATTAAACTCCCATGTATATGAACACAATTTTCGAATTCGTTAAATGTCATGCATTTTTGTTTACAATACAAATAGAAATAAAAATCTTTACACAACTAAATACCTTAATATTGTGAGCAGTGTCAGCGTAAGTTAAATAGAAATAAACAAGATGTCTTCTATATAAGATATTTGTCACATACGTATACAAGTCCCTGAATTAAAAAGTATATATCTCACGCAACGTGTATATAATACACTGTATAATAAATTAAAAACAACAGTATTTCATATTATCACCGTAAGTGGCAGTTTCCAAAATGCCACAAGACGAACTGCTGTAACATAAAAAATATAGCATTACCTGCCGGGCGGATCTCCTTGTATACTTAGTTTTTTAAAAACGATTAAACTAAAATATACAAAGCATATAAATGAGGTCAATCGTCCGAGAAAATAACATATCAGAAAAAAAAACACAGACGAAATGTTCAAACTTCAACTTCATCATGGATAATAAGATGTCCCATGATACTTTTCGAGTAAAGAAAAAAATTAGCCGATTCACATTAAAGGTGAACAATAAAAATATAGGCTTCATCACTTGGCAAGCTGTCGTCTGATCTGAGAGTTTCCCGTCAATTCTGCCTTTTGTGACACAAGTGAAAAGCCGCTGTATTTTTTGTTCACAGTATGCAAACTGCTTTCCGAGAAACCGACCAATTATTAATTTTGTGAAGAAGAAACATTCACGCATTAAGGCGTGAATAAAAAATATTCAGTGACAACCGCACGATTTGACTATCATGTTACGGTATTTTTTCAGTATGACGTTAGAACTGTCATCGAAATAGAGTACCGAGATGGCGTTTAACTTGGTGGGTGCACAACAAGGCTTGGGAACTGCTTCCGGATCCATGAGATGAACCAGGGTCTGGACTATAGCATGATTTGTTGCATTCATATGTGCATTCAAGGGAAATGAACATTCCCCATTGCAGTAAAAAGCGGAATAGCCATCTGGAGCAATAATCCAGTCCTGAAATTTACAAGAAAACAAAATGACAGATAAATCATGTAATTATCAGAAATCCAACCCAGCTTAACATTTCACATTACTATGTGTATCCCCACATGGCGGCACTACACCTGTTTAATTCGTAACTATATGTGTAGCTGTATGTCGCAGTCACACGAGAGCTGAACATCCAAATAACTGGTCAGTAAGACGGGAATGTTATGGGTAACACTACCAAATACGGTATTGTGACCCAGGCCACGTGACAATCAACCGACTTTCAGCCAATTACTGGTGGTGTAACAACGCGAATTTGGCATAAACTGTCGAAATAGTTGTGAATTGTACAGTTTTGAAATAAATAAACTTAGTGATTGAACAAAAACAATGTTTCTTAAAATATATCCAGACGCCGTAGAAATTTGTACTTTTACAATTTCAGGTAAGATATGGATCGTTGAAATTTACGATGCATTGATTTCATGGCGGCCGTGTTTCAAACTTTATAGATTGACGTAGCGATGACAAATCTGGAAAAAATATTAATAAATTGTACTGGTTGATTTATTTGGATGTTTTAGCCCTCAAGTGTCTGTAGCCAATAAGTGATTAGTTTCCCTTCTTACCTGCCAACCTAGCTCCCTGAAGCTGACAACCAGTGATCGTTTTTTACAACTTCTATCGCGGCGACTCTTGTTATCTGAGTATCAAAAAACAAAAAAAAAACAAGGCGGGTGAGCAAAATATAGTTTCCATACATAGCATAACGAAAGATTTGTGCTTTTGATGATTTTTTTTTATTTATTGAAAGCAATAAATGTCATTACTGGGAAAACCCTATCTAGGAATTAGATCTCTGTGTTGCGAGATGTATTATTGTTTATAAAAGCCATTTATAGGTTGATTGAGCACGTGACATTCCTAAAATGAGAATGTCTCTTAGAAAAACAAAACTTTGCATTCGATCAATGTTGCATTTCCATGCTGAACACACAGAGCTGAGAACAGCCACTGCTTGCGCTGTAAAATTTTGAAGTATCGAAGTTTCGAAAAGGTAGACACATGAGCGACGGCACTTGTGAATCCTGGTGACCAGTTTAGTGTGGTGTTTAGCGTGTAGTCTTCCAATAACCACAACAAACAGGGTGGAGTTCAAGGCCGAAAATATGTGCTCGCGGCGTTTCATAATAAATGCTTTTTATTAATAATTGCACCTTAACATAATATTTCATTAGATACGACTACGTCATATCTCATTATAATATTAGCATATCATATACGCAGTCACGGTACACATGCTTCAGGTCGTTCTTACGTATTCCAAAACGCATGCGCGACAGTGCCGTGGTACAAAGTGTCAATGTGAGGAGGGTAATGCCACATACCCGCTGTAAACTGCGGGCCACTTTCCCTGTGTTGTTGAAATTGACAAATTCAAATTGCATCACCACCCATTCTTCCATAACTCCCTTCACAATCAAAAACAATGTCTCCTTCATCCACACGAAAACACACTCTTTTCCTCTGCTAAAAACAATCAACGAGTATTAAATAATTCATGTCTACTTCTGTGAACTTTCTAGTTCTAGTTCCCATAACCACGGATAGCAGTTTTGTTGACAATATAGTCTATGTCTTCTAATGCATGGGATTCTAGTACTGGTATGTAAATTCGACTGACTGCTGCCACCAAGAGTCAGAGACAGACAACATGATTATGAAAACAACTTCAACCTCTATTTTTAGTTGCAGAACATTTTGAAAACAAAATGATTAAAGTAATTAGAACTAACCTTCGTCGTCATCGTAATTGTCGGGTTTCTTGTTTCTATCTCGATTTCGATTTCTTTTCTTCGACCCTGCTCCTCGCCTCCGTCTCGAGTGTGCCTCTTCTGACGTCTTGAAAAATGCTACCACGAAAGGTTGTTTTTCATCGGCTTCGTCTTCTCCTAAAATGCCGACATCTTTGATATCCACGGCCTCTCCTAGTTATGTGATTACAATATACTTTATATTCAAACAAATTTGCTTTTGATATTGCACTGTTCATGACACATACAAGAGTATTCTTCTATAAGAAATTTAATACACTAATACGCATGAAATTGTTATTGTACGTATCCAAATAGTGCACATGCGCATTAGCCATATCGTAATGTTGTATCGAGCAAATACTTGTGTGGTGTAGGCCATCCATGAACATACAGTATCAGCAATATTCAAAAATTACGTTCTCGTCTAAATTGCATCTTTTAATTGCCAAATCAGTTTAAAAATGCCGTATGATTCGCCTTCGCGACCTTTATTTATCTCAGTAGCAAAGAATACCACAAATTAGAAAAATGTGGGTATTGAAAGTGTGTGTTCTCCTTCCAATGAACACATTGTCTGACTTTACTGCTAATTTCCCATGAAATAATTACATATGACGTCATATCGGATATGCGTTCCACATCTGCACCTGCTGGAATGGTGACCAGCCCCTTGTCACTCGTGTACGGTAGACGAAACGATATACTGTAAAATCATTTATTTTCGCTATTGTCGCTGAAGGGGCGATTCAGTGAAAATAATTTCAAGTCATCAACACTCAGTGAAAATGAACTCCATACAAAACACCCAACATTTTTTTTTCCTGCGAACTCCAGCTAATTTTTTTTACAGTAACACCCAAAACCACCAACTTTCAATGTTGATCATGTAAAATACGTGTGGAGTACAGGCACGAGAGTACGTCACATCCGGCTGTTCGGACAAGTTTCGTTACTTTAGGTGATAGCAGAGAGTGATTATAATATTTCACTCTCAGCTCTAATCTGAAACTCGGCAACATTTACTCTATAATTTCTCAGAAAATTGGCGCCATTTTTCCAATTCACTTTTCTTACAGACGATAATGTGACTGGCGGTCAAAACGCATATGTTGATATAAAAATGAAAGAATATAGTAACATGTTAGGTCTAGATCAGAGTCTTTGCGGTCTTCATTACTCAAAGATTATATCCAGTTTCCCCGCGGTTATTGACGCCAGCTTGCCGGCACTTGTCCGATATTAATCTGGCTGATTCGAGAATGTTTTTTAATTTCTCCGTAATGGATTGTTACCTGCACATGCGCAAAGACGTTCTTTGGTGAGAAACATCTACACTAACACATCGCTATTCGCTGTGCATGACATGGAGTCATGTTTTGAATTCTGCGTGATACGTAAACTCTTAACCAAACAATAATTGTGTAAATAAGTTACTGACTTCGCGCTATTAAGTTTTGTATTCGATGCATCAGATAATTTCACCGTGATGTTATTATACTGACTTAGTTCATGATATTCACTTTTACCACAAAGAGAATCAAGCTGTCACGCCATTAAAGCACGGGGGTCGTCGCGCAGCGCGTGTTCGAATTTCATGTTAATTTCCATTTGATGGATTAACATTCAAAATTTAAATACATTATGAGCAACACTTCCACATTAATACAGCTTCGCATGTTTATAAAAGAAAGTAAGGTAATGTGATACAGTAATTATCAATTCTCTGATTTTCCAAGCCCTTTTGTTAAACTGTTTTAGTAAGTTTTTGTTTATATATTTAGGAATTGTTATCTAGTTATAGATTGGACTATGTTCTATTCAAAATGAATAATGTCAATAAAGTTAAAGTTAAAGTGTAAACATACAATGTATTTTACACGCGTTGTATACGTCACTAGGAGTCCGACATCGGACAGGACGCGACACGACGACCACCGCCCTTTAATGTTCCAAGCCGCACGTATCAGCGTTGAGTCGCAAGTCGACCTACTTCTGACTGAAAATGACATTACGATATGACATTTCATATATGATTTGAACTACCGGTAGGAATGCAAAGATAAACAGTTTGTACGAGTTTCAACTTTTTGTGAGATTCAACTACACCCGCAGGGCAAAGTTTCAAACTAGTGATCTAGGGCAGATGCAACTAAATCTTAGGAATTTATCGACACATTAGCTAAGCTATGTGCATATACACGTACAATATTAAAATGCAGTGTGAAGGGACGTTCTAACAGACAATTTGCGGGTTTCAGGTGCGCGTGATGTTTAATTCGATTACGCCAGTTACACCACGGGCTCGTTCGAAGATCGTGCACGATGCACACCGCCAATGCCCGGCGCCAATGGCACATGTTGTTCTGTTTGTACAACGCGACTGCACATCTACAGGAGTTCACGGTACTCTACGAGAAGAATGTTAACCTGCAAATACTTGGTATCAAAAACAACTTGAACGCGATGCGAATACAGTGACACCGTACTAATCAACAACCACGACCGCCGAATTAACTTTTACAGCAATATACATATAATGTGTTCTGAACAATAAATGCCACTTAATAAACAGTCCGTAATTTTGGAATTGCCAAACGGAATGGTATGCGACTTATAACAGATGGGCATGGTAGTGTCGAGAATGAATGGGTTGCAAGGACAGGTCGAATGAACGAAAAACAAGTTTATCTGCACGTCTCTGACATATATATATACTAGTATGGCACCATTTCGAAGGCGGTCATTTTAGAGTCAAAACCAACCGCGACTTAGAACGCCATGTGTTGGGCCCACTGTGACGTCAGATGTCTAATAACAGAAGTGACAAAGATTCAGAGTTTGTTGTTAGTCGTAAACATATAAATACCTTCTGATGTCTCTATTTCGACGTGGATTTTCAGTTTATCTTTTTCCAATAAATCCCACACATCTACAGCATGCGTGACGTCAAACACTAACCACCCTTGCTCATAGCCAAATATCGTCCTTTGGTCAAGTAAAACTGTCTCTTTTGCTCTGAAAAAATGAAACAAGTTTGTTTATTACAATTTTGGAAGATAGATATTTAAATTAAATTTAAGTTTTCTGGTCACGTGAAAGATTTTGGAATTTTCCAGTGTTTACTAAGCGCGGGCAAGAGGGGAGAGGCAATTTTTAGAACCAGTCGTTCACGAGCCCGTTTGCTTTAACTTCCCTCCAGAAATATCTTTGAAATGTGCATACGGATACCAAAATGTTATAAATGATGTCATGATGTATGAAAGACACGTTTTCTATGGTTTTTCTTTGCAAACATTGAAATGTGGCACGGTAAAGTAAAATATCTACTTAATACTGCGTATTTTTGCTCACCAGAAGTGGATCAACTTCGTTTATGCATGGAAGGTACTAACGTTAGTACTTACCATGGTTTATGTTCGACTGCTATGTGACATCACAACTGGGGCGTATTGGAGTGTTTTTACCACCGTCACTGGTCACAGTGCCAAGTAAGCTTGGAGAAAAGATAGCCAACGGCGAAATCGTAGGATAATCTCAAATCGTTTTTAAAATTACTCTAGTTACCGATGCAATAATGTGACGTCACTTCCTCTTTTATCTACTAGTACTATACATTTGCAGCACATACATTTCGTATTCGTTCGATGACAAATGTAACATATCAATACGCATGCGCAGTAATTGTTATTGTACGTGCAAAAAACAATTAGTCCACAGTGCCTAAACAGTGCATTGTTTCATTGAACGAATACTCGGCTGTGGGCTACAAGAACAATGTTTTTAGTTCAGGATATTTCATGGTCAAATACATTCATCGACTTACAGTATACAACAATAATATTAAAGCGCGGTGGTCGTCGCGCAGCGCGTGTTCGGATTTCATGTAAATAAACAATGTATTTTACACGCGTTGTATACGTCGCTGTTAGTCCCATATCGAACAGGACGCGACGCGACGACCACCACCCTTTAAGTGTTCACAGTGCACTATAACAATTATATTATCGTACGGAGTGTAAAACAATCAGATAAAACCTACTTTCCGGTAAGAACTTGATACACGTGTATTTTGTAACTGCTTTCTGGATCCAATGATGTTTTATACATTCTCAACTCGGCTGACGTCACAGTATCTTCCAATGACACGTCACTTACGTCAAATTCATACCGTTGTACATTGACTCGAGGTGATTTGTGATGTTTCTTCTGATGTACTGAAATATCAAAAACATACATGTGTAAGTCATACTGGTATTGGTACACGTGATCTCATACAAGGTCATACATACTGGGGTCACACATCCTGGTACTGACATGACGTAACAAATGTTACCCATCTTGGTACTTGTCTTGACGCCATACATCCAGGGACGATGTTCCATGTAAGGATTTAGATATTTAATTAAGATAATTGCAACGTCGTGTTTTTTGTAAAATCGTTATCGTGCTGGATTATAGATATTACATGGTCATATAGGGAAGTTTGCTTTATCGTAATCTGAGAAACGTTTTTGTTTTGGTTGCACGCGGAGTATTAAGCGCGAGATGCCAGTGGGACATCGCAAATGCGCATGCGTTTTTTTTTAGAGTGGGGTTACTGGTACATACTAATAATTCGAAACGCATGCGCATTTAGATGTTCAGTTTACGAAAACTACTATGCAATGCGTAAATATTACCAGTAGTATCGGACAGACGGAACCAAATAGAGAGCATTATCTTCACTCGAATGCATACTATAACTTGAACAAGGTGATGATGAATTATCAGTTTGTTTGTGTACCTCAATACGCATGCGCAGTTCACTATTTCATCATACAGATATCATTTCGGGAGTGACTAAAAAAAACATGTTTATTTATGATATAGCCACGTGATCCAATACATGAATTATGATATTTGTAGAAAAATGTGCTACATGGTTCATCGCCACTTTCACTTTGCACGCAACCAGGAGTGGACATGCATTGAATGTCCACGTTTGGAGCATTCGACACAAATATGATTTAAAAATAAACACGTTATATAAGAACCAGGAATTCACAGTGAAATGCGTCGAAGTAAAACGAACATGATTCTCATGCTTATCACATAGGTATACATGTTTTTTTTTGCTTTATATTATGGAGTTGAAACATTCTCATTTCGACTATATGTCCAATCTATGCACACAAGTGGGATACATTGGACCGCCGATGAAGATTTATGGAGAAAGAGACGTGTGCGTACGACAGAACCTCATCGTCTGTTTAGAGGAGTATCTGCCTGAATTGGTACCATCGGCAAAACCGAACCGCGACGAATGAATCAAAACCAGGAAAAATAGTAAGATACGGTCTGTTCTATTACAATATCCAAGCCACCGAAATCACTGTAATCAATGAAAGGAGAAAACACGAATTGAACTGTTGATTTAAGAGGACAACGCGCCTACCTGAGCGTAATTGTTTTCACATCAAAAGAACATGCCTTTCACGTAAAAACTAAACAAACTTGCATTCAGTGAAGCGTGATCTAAGTCGTAGTGTGCGGTCCGGGAAAGCCGTCGCCATTTTGATTAACGCAGCCATAAGAGTGGCTGAGTTCAGTGAAAAAAAGAGTTGAAATGCTGTAAAGGCTTAGATTTGTCAGAGATTGCCAGCTATTTAAAGGTATCAATGGCTAGTTCTATTTGAGTGAATACACCGCCAATTTTATCAACATTGGCACGTAAATCAACCAAAGCCCTCACAGTCCCGTTCTAAAGAACCGATTAAAACTGGCCCCACGCGATCAGAGCCGAACGTTCAGTAAGAAAATACAAAATATTATAAAAATCAAATAAAGGCAACTTTAATATGAAAAAACGCCCAAATTTGTGTGAACGGGTACAAAAAATGCATAGATCGTAAAGATTTTTTATTTTATTTTCGATTTGTGAACTATGGATGCTGTATTCTATACAGTGCAGAATATTCTATCATGCATACCAGGATAACAGCGATGGGTAATCGATTCCTAGTCCACTGCCGACAGACAGGAAAAGGACACTCAACATTTTTCAGCTCAGGGCATTCCGAGGACTACGCCAATTATGTTCGTCTGTACCTCTTCCCCAAACCCAATTTAATTAGTTGATGACTCAACTTTCCAATTACACCCACCAACGCTATTTCGACAAGGTTATCAACCATCAAAACGTAAGGGTGACCGTGGACAGTACTTATTCCAATGACAGCTAAAAGGTATTACCATGAAGTCACGATCTAAAGGCTGGTTTACACAGCATCACTTCTCAAAAGTGAAGTAAAATAAGTTTAATTCGCGTTATAAATGTCTATCTAAGGAATAACTAAGGTAGAGGCAAGGGAATAGGACCGGCGTTTAATACAATCGCAAACACATTACAGAAACTCACTTACACATCTCTCGGGTATATAGACTTCACAAATTATGTTGCTTCGCTTATACGCCCATGGAGTAGATTACAGTAAATAAACATATCAGAAACCGCTCTTATCGCAAGTGTCTTAATTCCGTTCAAAGGCGGTCCCACCGTGATATATATATCTGATTATCTGCCAGGCACTTTAAAAGCCACGATGCTAATAATACAACCCCATTTCACGTACACTTCAACTGAAAAGAAAAAATAGGGACATGCCACCAAGAGGGGTCCATTTTTAAGGGAGTCTAGAAAACCTGCTGATGAGAGTAATCATATCGACAATAAACGTTATTCCGGCATCAAAACTGCCATTTCGGCGAGAAACCGCTCACCATACAAAAGTAGATGACAACGTTCTAAACGATTTTTTGCAACAATTTGTGAGAGAGGTGTTAATTTTGTCCGTCTGGACAGGGATATGCGCCACACCCCTACCATACATTGCCAGGAAAGTAAATTTCTTCTTTCACACACAATTACGTGTAAGTGGACATAGCAATATGGAGGCGCTCTGTAATTCACATACACTAGTACATAACATACACTGAATTGTGATATTTTGTAAATAAAAGTATCGAGGGGTCACATTGTGTGGCAGCCGTCTGGCAGCACAGTCGACAAGCAGTACACCGCAGTCATGCAGCGCGTCACAGCCGAAGCACCGCAGTTGTCATGCAGCGCGCCACGGCCCGGCCGCGCACGAAGCACCGTAGTTGTCATGCAGCGCGCCATAATCGCCACACAGCGCGCCAGTCATCAAGTAGCGCGTCACACACCAAATTCGTCACGTTGGCTGGTTCCTGCCCCAGGTGTCATAGGACACTTATCATTGGCAAGGGACACCGGGAACCAGTGAAAGGCCTTACACAGCACCACATTCTCCAAACCTCAACTGATTACTGCCGTTGGTGCTGGGCGTTGGTGGCGTGGCGAGGGTCCATAATCACTGATTCAGCACGTTCAGTCGACGCATGCACGATCCATAGTCGTCACGCGGCGCGTCACACGCAGCAACACAGTCGCCCACAGCAGCACAGGTTTTTACATGCCTTGTATACATCGCATGGGACCCATATCAAACACGACGCGACGCGACAACTGTGATGTAAATTTCTCTAGAGCAGAAGCTTGAATCTATAAAGAAATGACACTCGAGTTGTTTTCTGACAAAATTGAGAAGATCAGCGAAACAGCCTCTCTAGTAGATCTGGGTACATGGGTGTCCTGTTCTTTTGAATGATAAAAACATGACAAAAACAAACATAACATTTTATGGCTATCGATAAAAGAAAACTCACAAATACAAGAATAGATCAAATGTGTAGCGAGTTGTGCCCGTGTAATTATTATAAATGTGCTGATTCGTAAAATAAACACGTAAACCGCCATACTTTAAAACAATCTACCCCTGGCGACTTTAGCTTGTCCACAAACGCCGACACGTGTTTTTTTATGATAGTGTCAATGTCACCTCAACAAATCAACTACTTCTCGCGGCAGTGTGGAAACACTGGCCTGTTGACGAGAATGAATTCATACACTCTGAATTCGGCAGTTCACTCAACTGTGGCAAAATTGCAAGCAGGTGGTCCAACTTCCGCCACGGTGTTCTCCTTAGTGTGGGTAGTGTATTAATAATGCAAAGTTGACTATAAAACAAATTACTTATTTACATTTAGGCCGTAAATTGAACTCGTGTGGGGTTTTGTAAAAAAGAAATACAGTAACAGACATCAGTTTTATGTCAGTGGAGGGCCCAAAACGATTATGGATATTAACAAGCAATGACACAGCCGCCGTTTGCCACACAGTAACCATATGTATACCGTTATACTGGGAAAAGGAACGTAGGAGGAGGATGTGGTATGTAACACAAGTGTTACACGCCGCTCTCGCATGGCACGACACAATAAATGCGAATGTTGTTATATAACAACGGAGATTAAACAAGGTACCTGTGACAATGGCCATGGCCTTTAAAATACACGTCTCTACATGTTCAGATACGGATAATGTAGATTCATTGCCACAAATGTTGTCAATAGTTATTGAGTAGTTGCAAAAACTGACAAGTATTACCTATTTTTAAATGTTTACTACAGTTTCTATAGCTTGACCCGAACCAATTTCTCTGATTCATGTCTGTAACTTAATTTTATCTATCTTGGAAACGATTGTTACTAGGGTATATATTGGTATAATGAATAGGTTGGAAGCCTAAACAGTATATGGTCAACTTTGTGGCTGTTGTCGTTTCAGTTAAAGGTATAGCACGTGACTGTCTGCTGGCGAGTTGGCTGGTACCCTACGTAAATGTTGAGTGCTCTTGAAGTTCTCAAAAAACTGGAGTGCGCACTAAACGTTTTATTAGCGACCGGATTTTGATGGCTACTCGTTGTGCACAGAGAAAGCTGCATAGTGTCATTCACAAGTGATTGCCTATCGGAGACATACCATACTAAATAGAACGTGTTTACCCTCATGTAAAGGGACTTTTCTGTGGCGAGGTCATGACTTCATTTTAACGGTCTGTGGCCACATGAAATAAGACATCGTGAGATCGTTTTTTTTTTTTGACAACTTGGAGTATATACAACAAAAATAAAAATATTACATTCCTAGAGTTGTAACGTGGGATCTTCATATTATGGTATAATATGCATTTCTCGACAGTTTTGTTTCATATTTATTATTCTCATTTAGTACCTCTGTAGTGCATTCGAGAATGTCATCAGTCAAAAGTTTGTATTTTGTTGGCAATGTATTAAAATTTGTATACGTGTTTGG